AGATAGATAGATAGATAGATAGATAGATAGATAGATAGATAGATAGATAGATAGAAGATAGATAAAGTCATGTTTAAAGTGATGGAAAAAATACATATCCTAAGAATGTTTACAGAGAACTATAACATGAAATGAACCACTTTCAACTGTTTGAGAAAGATTTGGTGTGAAAATTCATCAGCAAGAAAAAAAAAAAACAAGCTCTCTACCAGGAAAGACCTGTACATACAAAACGCTGTACCATTGCAACGGAATAATTATGTAATGTTAGCCTTGAGCACAACTTTTATCTGGACGCAAAAAAAAGAACAAAATAATTTGTTACAGATTTTATGTTAGTAGTATATCCATGTACCGGGGTGAACTTAAGAAACCAAAAATCTATCAATAAAAACTCCCCTAAAACGTGCCATCAAGACGGGTATTGTTCAGTAAATTGATATCCTCCATTCACCCAAAATTACTTCATTTGCAGTATGGTATTTAACTCTTTTTTTTAAACTCAAACCTAACAGCTTGGAGGTATCTATGGCGAAAACTTTGTTAGGAGTCTCATCAGGTTTGCGAAGTGTGTCCCCGGCTTCAGAGATCTTCCGCTGGATGACCAGGCCTTACTATTGAAACGTAAGTATAGAAAGAGAAACAGAAGAAGGCAGATAGATCCCAGAGTATTTTGGGATTAGGAACAGGAGATAGAAGATGAACGGGGGGAGGGGGGGGGGGTTATAAAAGCCACAAAAAACCCCACCTCAAAACCTCCATGGTATAGAGAAGGGGGACAATGGGGAGGAGGAAATAAAGGACGGAGATGAGTTGAAGGAAGGGAAGGAGGAGGAGTAGCAAGAGGAAGTGGAAGGGCACAAGAAGAGAGAGGGGAAAAAGAAGAAGATGAATAACAAAAGCAAGGAACAAAATGAACAAAAACCCACCCGATCTACTGCTGTGTCTTCGTTCTCACATGCGTGTATATCTCAACTATAAGAAGAGGGTGTCCTCACTTTCTGTTCATGCATACATTTTAATGTTTGACCTCACCGATGGCAGTCCGTATAATTATTTCATTTCTTCGCCCATCTATTGGATACGGATTCTACTTGTTACATGGGGCTCCAAATAAGATCTGTCTAAAGGAATCTTGAGTTACTTACATCTTTAAAACAATCAACATTGGAGAAGCCCTTTCCATTTTTAAGATTTAGTCGTATTTTCTTTCCAAAAAATGCTCGATGCGCATTATACTCATAGACATAGAGATGTCACACATCTATATCTCTGGACAAATGTATACGTAGAACATAATTTTATGTATATTATAATATAATAAAATATTCACACATTTTAAAAGTGTGTAGCTAAAAAACTACACATCCAATCACTTTGAAATTTTTACACATGTCACGCAAGCTCATTGTCGTTCTTGATATGTACTCACTAGGGTGCACAGATCTATCGTTTTGTCTGACGGTGTCATTCACTGGGTTTTGATATTTTTGTCAAATACTGTGAGAATGTATGGGTAACTTTGAAAACAAAAACAACTCTCGCAAAGTTATACCCCTTCCAAATTTTTAGCGACATAAAAAATGACTTCTCTTTAACGATTCACCATTCTTCGACTTAATGAATCAGAAAGAAATCACATCATGGAGATGCTTCCGGTGGGCACTCCGCTTTCGTACGTCGCGAGAAGGTTCAACATGAACAGACACACTGTGTAAGCCACACGGGATCACATGGCAACGATTGACTCCCAAAAAGATGCACCCAAGCAAGTAGAACGCAGAAAGACAAAACGGAGGGTGGGCACATTCGTCCTAACGCAACGCTTGAGAAATCAATTTCAACCGGCAAACAGATACAGGTTGAGTCGAAACCGTTCTTCTTCGTTTATAAGATCGGAACCTTCGTACTAGCGGCCTAGTTTGTCGCATAAAACTACAGCCCCATCACATCCAGGACAGACTTCACTAAGCACAGCATCGCGTGTGATGGCCAAAGCTAAATTACCCAAGTTCTCGAACCCTATGTATAGTTTTTTTTCACAAAATCAAGCCCAAAGACAAGTATTATTGCATGATATTGATAATGGACCTGCTCATAAGGCTGCTGTGACAAATCAATTTATCAAAACTAACAACAATCCTCTCCTGCACCTATGGCCAGGGCATTCACCAAATTTTAATCCAATTGAGCGCTTGCGGAACATTTAAGATCGCGCCATTCGTGCCCGACCACACCAATCACGTACCCTTGATGAGTTAGAACAAGCCTTAATTCAAGAGTTAAATAATATCCCCAAATATACAATTCCTCGATTCATCCATCCATGCGTCGACGATGTAAAGACGTGACAACGCCAGATGTCATCAAACGTTACTGAAAGCTGTCACTTTTCGTTTCGATCCATGACAACTACTATAAGTTCAAAATTGAAGATTAAAAAAATTCTTAACTTTACATTCCACGTGTTTCCTTTGCTAAAAAAATGAATTCACTGTCT